CCTTCTTACCACTGGAAAGGCTGCAGGTACTGCAAATGAGCCGTGGTTGCGGCCCCCGGGAAGAAAACAATTCATGGCAAAGAAGTTTAAAAAGAAATAAAATAAAATAAAATAAGATAAATAAAAGTGAAAAGAAAATTGAACAGGGAAAAAGCAAAGAAAGGAAGCAGAAAAAAAAGAACCGAACTAGGCTCTGAGTGGGGCAAATGGCAGTCGAGCCATGGATGTTACAGACTCCCTAAGCCCACTGCGTGGGGCAGATCCAGGGACTTGATACCGTCCGGTTACCGTGCCAATTCCTTTACCCCCATGAACAGAGTTAACTTGATTTATTCCTTTCTATATGGTTTGCCCCTGAAGACAAGGTCGTCCGTCGGTCTTGATTAGATTAAAACCTCACGAACCCTATAGACTCAATAATATGCAGTATGCATCGGTATAATTTGGCACTGGCACTTTCCTAGGGTCCTCGGCAAACGGGAGACAGACGGGCATATGCGAGGTAGACTACGGAGTAGGATGGGCATCATCATCCCTGGGGTAGTTCAACCCATCCCTTTCAATCTATTCCTAGAGACTTCATAACCTGAAATGAGAACCAACCAAGTAGGCCGGTATGCAGACAGGTAGGCAGGGATCAGTTGACATCAGACGATCAAATTGCCTTGCTAAGGACGTAGGGATGTCTGTAGTCTATGGCCATCTTCTCACAGCCTGGATATGTCCATTCCATCTATCAGCTCGGCATCCTCGGAGATTTTCTCTTGAGGATCATTCATCAGCCCAGCCACGACCGGGTTTTTAGTATCTGCAGGTCGCCGCTATCGGGGACCGTCATGCGCCTCATCGGTCTTCTTGCTGCCTCTCCAAGGCTACCATGGAGAGATAGACCTTGGAGAAATAGTGACATGCAGAGCTGACGATGTCCATCGAAGTCTGTTATAAGGATCCTCGGGTCTCCAGCCGACACTCTTGCACAATGCAGCAACGATTGACCTCAACAATGCACAGTGGGTTGTCGATCCCTGAGCGTTTTCTGTCAGGTCTCCTGGGTGACTGAGTGACTGGGTGACTGAGTGGGAAAGCAGCATCTCTGGCGTGATTCTCCTGAGTTCCTGAGTCGAAGTTGTCGACTATTGTCGAAGGGTCGACCCATGGGAAAGCATGGCAGGACTGTTAGGGTGTTTAGAAGGAGGTAAGTACGTAACCCGCCGGCCAACGAGTGGTGGTGGTTGCTGCATAACAGCGGGATCCCCACCGTGGGTGAACTTCCACCCGCATGGCTAGCCTAAAAGGCTAAGGTACTGTACGTACTAAAGGTACACTTTTACCGTACTGTACCACACGCTAGCCCTACTCGGTCTTTATCCCCTAGTCTCAACTCTCCCAACCGTTCCCCCTCTCCCCCCTAAATGTCTGAACAGTCAAAGAAAAAAAAGGGGACACAGACAGACACTCAGGCTCTCTCTTCCAAGGAGGATAAGAATAACTAACTTACTAGTTGGTTGCCTTGGTTGTTCCTCTTTGTCTGCCTGACTGACTAGGGATTCTCAATCTGCACCCTGGCGGATGAATCATCCACCGGAACCCGACTGCTGGGTTCAGTCCAAAAATCCGACCATGCGGGGAATCAATCCATGGGTAATCAATCTATCGGCTCCCTCTCCACACTCGGTTTCCGACCGCAGTTGCAGCGCGGCAAGCAATTAATTGAGAGGCGAACTAAGGTACGCTGATGGTCTGTAGCCTGGTACGGTCCCTCAGGGCTCAGGAGCCAAGCATGTTGTCAATGTCTGCAATGTGGTCAAAGAACCGTTGGCATGAGACATGAGAGAAAGACCTGGTACCAGACTAGTTAGTGTGTAAGCATTTGAAGGTAAGGTTTAGTGCATGGACTACAGTATTTAGTACGAGGGCATACAAGTTGTTCATTTCACTTGGACCATCGTTCGTTCGTTCGTTGGTTCGTTCGTAGGCGCAGCAATGCTTGTGCGCCTCCGCCTCCGCCCTCGTCCCCATCTTCGTCCAATGCGTACCAATGCATACAAAAACGCAGACACCTCCGTTCCTCCTGCCCTACAGCATGAGGATTCAGCCCCCAGTCAGCCGAAATCCTATAGGAATTCAAGGATAGCCACAGGCTGCCATGGAACGCTGTCCAGCCCACGGATGATCGGCTCTCTTCCGGCTTCGCTGGATGATCGTCTGATCCGAACCATAGGACGGCTTTATCGGGGGGTGTGTTATCGGTGCGGTAACCTTGTTGGAGGTGGAGGAGGAGAATCATGGATGCTTTTTACCTCTCCATTCCTCCAACTTGATAGATGTAAACTTTAATTCAAGGTAGCAACGCACCACATTTGAACGTATGGCCACACTCCAAAGCATAATTGGGTGCTTTTCGACACGAGGTAGTTGATGAATGAATGAAGCCGGTGCAAGCAGTCCCCGACCGAGACTTGACCTCCTCTTGGCGATAGCCCTTATCCGCCCTGGGCGACTCCGTACCTATTCAGCACATTCTATGGACGAACGGCACAGACAGTGGTACAGCCAAACCTATTTCTTCCGAGAAGAGGCCATAGCCATCGGGGTCTTGCCGATGTATCACGTTGCCGTTGTGCCCAAATCTTTGCACATTATGGTCAACCGTGGGTCGCTAGTGGCAAAGAATGCGTGCTTGTTTAACAACGGTAGAGCCAGCGATAACTGAGCAATTAGCTTCGATGGAAGGTTTGAATGCTGTCAAGGGTCACTTGACGGCATCGTTCATCTATTGCCAGCCTACTCCAACCAATTTCCATAACTCTTCCTCGGTCGGTTCCTTCGAGAACCAGCGGCCGACTCGGCTTACTTCTGCTCTGCCAGATGCCGACCGCCCATCGATTCTATCCCGTATCTCATCTGGAGCCCCACGATTCAGATCTCTGTTCCCCCAGAACCCGGATTTCAACAATATGCACAGACGCCAGAATTCATTGAATGACTAGTCATGCACGAGCTTGGGGGGGACTGGACGGAAGTGGTCGGGGACAGTAGCCATCACCACTAATTTACTGTCTCCTTTCATCTCCACTGTCAAAGGCGTTGGACTGGTCAGATGTCGCCTCGCCCAGCTCGACCACCCGACAATTGAGCGCAGTCGGAGATGCTTAACAGAAGTACGATCAACTGAAAATAACCACCTGAAGCAACGGCAGTCTCGGACATTCCGTGCAGACCATTTCCACTCCACTTAGTTGCGAGGGAGAAACTATCGGAGCGACCATCCTTGAACAGAGTAAGTCCGTTGCGCTGCCAATGTGGCCAACAACCCATAAATTACCGCATTAAGCCAAACATGATCTCCGACAGGTTCATTGAAGCGGCCCCTGGAATTTACCACCGTTGACAAAATGGCACGCAGTGAAGCAGATATCCTTGTTCTTGAAAGGGGGGGGTTGAAACAGTCGTGAAACTCGCCTAATAACCACCTTTTGAGAGTTAATCTCGGCCGTCCGGGTAGCACGGCCCTAGACAATGAATGGCGGTACATTCCGACTGGCAATCAGGTGTATCACGCAACAAAGTCCTCGAGTGTACGAGCCAAAGATGTTTGGACTGAACACGATTGTGTTGTCAGGTCGTTGCCTCGAATGCGACCTGTCATGGACGAGGGCCGCAAAAAGGTATATAGTAATTCTGATGTGTGGGACCGATCACCCCCCATCCGCCCGCTATGACCGACTTACAGAGCCCACTGCATTATGTAGTTACTGCAGAGAGATAGATTATCTGCAGAGAGCTTGAGCATCGCAGAATAAGGCGGAAATTCCATCCGCCTATATGCTGCCCTCCGCGTTTTCGGCCAATTCACCTTCCCAGAAAGGCTGTCGAGGAACCAATAAATCGCATAGTCTGAGCCTCACGCAAGGTAACTCCATCGATCAGTGGGTTGCAACGACGATCTTCCGCAGGGCGCTGTGTAGATAAGTCGCCTCGCTGCGGGATTTGAACATCGGTTCATCATCGCTTGCCAATCTATTGACGCGAGTGTGATTCAAGGTGTCTTGTTTTGATTCTATACCTCGGTCCGGACTGACAGTGCGTATGTCCGTAGGCAAGTGGAAGGCCCCGGTCACGCCCCTTTATCGATAGTACTATAATTAATTCCAGGGCATACGGTAGGTCTCTACTTTGTAGTGAGCAAAGCGATCACGACTCATACATCAATCACCGCGGAATTGCTGATAGCCTGATACTCTGAGGGTCAGACTAATTAATTTAGCAGTGAACGGTTCCTCGGAACTCCGGGGGAGGAATGCACTTCTTGGGGTAGTGCTCCGTTTCGCAGAATCATCGATCTCTTCCAGTTACAATGAATCCGAACTTGGAATTACCCGGTGCTTTCCCATTGAGATTTAGTTGCGATACTGGACCTAAGACCTAGACTACCATCGGATCAATGGTCATGTGTGATGTCATCCACGATCCGCATACTACGATGGTCTTCAGACCCTCAGAAGAACAATCGATTAATCCGTACCTCCCTCCTCTGTTTGGATTTCGTATGGGTATTGCATCCAGAATCATCCTCAATTACCAGCGGCCATACCATACCGATCCATACATCCCGAGCAGGCTAATTGTGACCATGAAAGATTCACTTACCTCCAAACTAGCGAGGACTAACCGCCTAAAGCAAACTTTAACTGAAGCAATGCGATGGCGATTCCCCACCAGAGTCATGAAAGTTTTCCGGCTTCAGAACACAACAAATCGCACTCTTCTGCTCTTTTCTAGAATTCCCCCGGTCTGAAACTTCTCGCGATCTACCGAACCTTGAGACAGTAGTCGATGAACTATCGTCGGACATGGTCCAGAACAGGCAGGTCTCCTAGCCCCGCGCATTTGAGCCGTGAGAGTCATGCACTTGGCTGCTAAACTGCACCACTCTATCAGAGGTCCGACTCGACCTCGATCTTCCGGATCAGCAACGCGATGCTGTTCGCAGCTGAAAAGAGCATTTGTGCTGCGATGTGCCATGCCCTTATGTCTATGTAACAAGATCCACAACTACAAAACACTTACGCACATCACTGACCCAAAAACTAGGAGGTTTTGACAAGCGCGGCCCCAAAGAGTCAACAGGACTTATCCTTGCCCAACACGTACAACACCTCCATTCAATTGCACTTCAGGAAATGCTCCAGAAGCTGCGCAGAATAGCTAGAACAAGGTCTTCGAGGACTATGCCTTTTTTGAGTGCTGATTACTATTTCCAGTTTTCGGGCCCCATGCAAGAGCGCCCCCCCCCACCCTCTGTGACTGTCACGAACAGTATCACTGATACCAGTCTTGGGCTTATCCACCCCATTGCCACGTTTCGAAGGGAAACAAGAAATCCAAACGTGGGCTGGATATTAATAACAACGAACTATGGAGACTTGCGGACGAGCGATGGTCCCCCCGCTGTCCTATTTACGATACGAGGACAAGCTCAGTCGAGTTTGCGCGAGTCAACAGCAGCACGTCGGTGCATAATGAAAAATAAAAAAGCCTTGAATTGTTTGGCAAAAGGCTCAATAGCAAGGAGTCGCATTAGGCTGACATGATTACCCTAGATTTCGCCCCCTTTTTGTAATGCGATCACCAACTGATCAACGACCTCAAGGGCTCTGAACACAATTACCGCATCGAGGTAAGTCTGAGGACGGTGTTCAATGTGTCCTGCGCTTCCAGATTAGGTACTGTTAAGGTGCAGCCCACCCTGAGCGATCATTCGGGATCTGCCCGAATTTCTGGCTTGTGTTCGTGCCGATGCAGTGGTTGTGGTCGCTTAAATAGCCGCATGGGGGTAAGCTGATCTGGAGCTCCAGGACCCACCAGGACGGACGATGAAGCATTCGGAGCATCAGATTTATACCTACCCGTCCCCATTCTTGACATCTTGGTGTGCGTTGCTGCCATGCGACGTCAGAAATAGCAGACAGGTGACGCAAATGTCAGATCCCGGGCCTCTATTTGCCCCAAGGAAATCGAGGTATCGGTTATCGCGCGACAGGGGTTAAGACACTCACAGCTATGCTAGCCCAGGTGCACAGCCAGGATGGCCTTCAGCATCACTACCTATCATCTTGCAACGCTCGAAGGAACAATACCCTTGTCTCAACTTCCGATTAACATACAAGCAAACAATTCATCTGTTGGGACTTGGACGCATGTCAGCATAGTTCAACGTGCACGCCATGCACGCCATTGCTGACCTGCCCAGCTTACCGCTTACGGTTTCGCGTGGCGCTCCCAGCTAGACTTCAATGAGAGATGAAGACTCAAAAGAAGCAAGCATTTCATTCTAAGGTCTTATTGAACCTATGCTGAATGAGTAACAGTTGCACCGCCACGACCCAATATTATTTTGTGGTATGTATGTCGCGGTGAGATTCTAGCTCCTTGCTTTTTCCCATGTTCCCGTCACTGGGGCCAAAATGTCAAGGCGGGATCTGCCTCGACGATGCTACCAAAAGATAGAGTCGGAGGAAGTTGGAGCATGGACAAGGTTTTTTTTTGTTTTCGTGAATAGGCATGCCTTGTCATTCGAGTATATGGTCGAAGACGACTGGGATCATGCTGGCAAGGGTACGATGCTCAGCAGCCACCCAACAAACAGCATGTATTTTGCAGTGCGTCTGGAGTACCTATACCTTTTATCTTGCGAGCAGTGGCACAGATAAAGTCTAAATCACTGACCACTTGAGCAGCCAGAGGTAAAGTATTTGAATGGGGATAATGGTGCTCTGTAGTCCTGTGGATCAGATCGTGTCTCCGGTGGTTTAAAATTTATATATCGAGGCTGAGGCACTGAATCACGAGCCGTGGATTTGGTGATAGCTCCTGAGCCACGACCACAGACCTCCTTCGACTTCAACTCTTAATTCCTTATAACTTACCATCACTTGGAGACAGTCACATAACTTCGACTCTGCTAGACTAAGCTAAGTCACTTTAGCTTCAACGTTTAACCGCACTCAACGGAAGAGCTCGGGGCTAACATAGTCCGAAGCTGCCAAGGTTCCGGCGGTGACGGCCGGAGTGATGGAGTTGACCGCGACAGGTCAAGGGCAGGGGTGACGGACGGCATGACTGAGTAGATCCTAGGATTCTGGTAGAACATGACTCCTGGAAGTATTTACAATAGAGTTCATGTCAATAGAGAAAGAAAGTAGTTGAAGGTACTATCCATCGTACAACTACTACGTCAACGCCCGACAATCATTCGCCCGAGTCACTCGCGGCAGTTTGCTCGGTTTGCAACGGCTACACCGGACGGCCTCTAAGGGATGCTTATCTAAGCCCAGCCTGCCGAATTCCGCCTAGTCGCAGGGGAAAGTTTGTTCCCAACATATCCGGGTTGTTGAAAGATAACAGCAGCACTGCTCTCCCTCTGTTCACCTTCATCAGCATCTCGCTGTCCTCCGCTGCCTCCCATCCATCATGTTGTTCCGTGCTGCGGCCCGTCAAGCCGCCCCCTTGAGGCGTCAGGCCTTTGCCCCCGTTGCCCGTCGCTCCGTCACCACCGACGCTGCCTCGGCGCATGCTGAGAACGTCCCTCAGGTAAGACGCGGCTCCTCCCAGTTCACCCGATGGGACTTTCCTCAATGCTTCGTCCCCAATTTCGATGATTTCATCATCCAGCTAACAGTCCCTGTAGGAGGATGACAAGCCCTTCACTGTCCGTCTCTCCGACGAGAGCTTCGAGACCTACGAGATCGATCCCCCTCCCTACACGCTGGAGATCACCAAGAAGGAGCTGAAGCAGATGTACTACGACATGGTTGCCATGAGGTATGCTGCTACTGGTGTCCTATCTCGCATCAATCCCCCTATTAACAAGATTGGCACAGACGCATGGAAATGGCCGCCGACCGTCTGTACAAGGAGAAGAAGATCCGAGGTTTCTGCCACCTGTCCACCGGTCAGGAAGCCGTCGCCACCGGTATCGAGCACGCGATCTCCCGCGACGACAAGATCATCACCGCCTACCGGTGCCACGGTTTCGCCATGATGCGCGGCGGCACCGTCCGCTCCATCATCGGCGAGCTGCTCGGTCGCCGCGAGGGTATCGCCTACGGCAAGGGTGGTTCCATGCACATGTTCGCCCCCAACTTCTACGGCGGTAACGGTATCGTCGGTGCCCAGGTCCCCGTCGGTGCCGGTCTGGCGTTCGCCCAGCAGTACAACAACCAGAAGGCCACCAGCATCATCCTGTACGGTGACGGTGCCTCCAACCAGGGTCAGGTCTTCGAGGCCTTCAACATGGCCAAGCTGTGGAACTTGCCCGCCCTGTTCGGTTGTGAGAGTACGTTTTGCCTTCACCCTTTGAAACAGCACCGCATACGTTCCTGAGTCACACTACTAACAATCCGCCCCTAGACAACAAGTACGGCATGGGTACCTCGGCCGCCCGCTCCTCCGCCCTGACCGAGTACTACAAGCGCGGTCAGTACATCCCCGGTATCAAGGTCAACGGCATGGACGTGCTGGCCACCAAGGCCGCCGTCCAGTACGGTAAGGAGTACGCCACCTCGGGCAACGGACCCCTCGTCTTCGAGTACGTCACCTACCGCTACGGTGGCCACTCCATGTCCGACCCCGGCACCACCTACCGCAGCCGCGAGGAGATCCAGCGCATGCGCAGCACCCACGACCCCATCGCCGGCCTCAAGCAGAAGATCCTCGACTGGAGCGTCTGCACCGAGGAGGAGCTCAAGGCCCTCGACAAGGCCGCCCGCGCCCACGTCGACTCCGAGGTCGCCATCGCCGAGAAGATGCCCGTCCCCGAGAGCAACTCCCGCATCCTCTTCGAGGACATCTACGTCCGTGGCAGCGAGCCCCGCTGGATGAGAGGCCGCACTGTCGACGAGACTTTCTACTACTAGAAAGTTCTTTTTTCTCCGTCTTCAGTAAGCCAGCCATTGGTCGGTTGTAGGCAAAAGAAAACCGAGGGGAGGAGGACAGAAAGCTTAGGGAAGAGAGAACAGAGATGTCCGCTGGTGAAGAAAGAAAGACTCCAAGGATGATGATGGTGTTAGCGTGATGGGGGAACGACCCAGAAGGGGAGAAAAACAAGATCGGCCTTCCCGCTACGATTCTTGTTTTTTCTTCTCCCCGTCTGACACAAAGCATCTAAAAAAACCCCCCACACAATCTCACTCATACACACAGCTCTCATGGAACGGTTGTTATCAAACTATGTAATTTAGCCGGGAATTATCATTATTTTTTTTATCGTTGTTTTGGACTTCGTTCGTGCTTCGCTGGGGGCCCTTCCTGCGTGCTATACTATACCTACCATGTTCTAGATTTTTGGAGGCAATATAGACTGCGATGTTCGTACTTTAACTTGGTTGGCGAGGCTCAGAACGAGATGTAGGGCTTCGGAGTGGATCTTCTTTCGTGAACCATCCAGTGGAATTAAATATATATTTCAGGTATCTTGAAGGGTAATATGAGTGTGTATAGGAGGAAAGGGAGCAGAAGCAAGGAAACTGTTGAAGTAGCAAAAAAGCTGGCCGAGCAAACCGAACAGACAACACTGCTCTAGACCAGTGGGTATCATATGCAAACATATCACGATAAAGGAGAAGACCAAACAAGGAGGATATAAGGTATGAATATGAAGGTAAATGGGGGAAGAAAAACTGGAGGGAAAGCACGTCAAGACGGCTCCTGTCTCAACATCTCCAAAATCATCTCCTGCGTCCGTTGCACCGAGTCCAGCTTCTCCTCGAGACTCGCGCGGTCCTTGGCCAGCTCGGACCGCATCTCCTCGCGCATCTCCTCGCGGAGTTCGGCTTTGAGCTTGATGATGAGGTGAGTAGGGATCAGAAGGGAGGAGGCTTGGGACATCTTCGAGGCTTGGGTGGGCGAGGAGGGGTCGTCGGGATCAGAGCTGGAGTCAGATTGGGATTGTGATCGCTGTTGTGGTTGCTGCTGCGTCGTGGTGGTGGTAGCAGCGCGTGAGCGGCTGTCGGTTGTTTTGGTGGGTTTGGAAGAAGTTGGAGTGGTGGTGGAATTGGCAGCGTCGAGGTGGCGGTTGAGTTTGCCCAATGTCTCTAGAACGGCACTCATCATTGACGACGACTCTGCGTTACCCGCCTCGCCTCCTGAAGAGGCGCTGTTCAGTTGTTGTAGAGCGAGGGACCCGTCCAGAGACGGTCGGCCTCCGGACGCGCCGCCTAGCATAGTCGCTGGGACTGGAGTCGGGGTGTGGTACTGGGACTGCGGCTGACTGGCGAACATGTTATCGAATCCGGGGGGTAGACGGACTTTGGTGTGTTGGGGCGTGGAGGCGGGCGGCGTTGAAAGCGCTTGCTGCGACGGTGTTGGAAGCTGGGCAGCAGCACCACCAACATTCACCAGCGGACTTCCACTGCCACTTATACTCCCCGTCGCTTTCCAAGCCCCCAAGCCAGGACTGACCCCGTCATTGTTGCCGTTAACCCACACTTCCCACTCTCTGTCCTTTCTCTTCCTCGGCCTCCTCGAGTCCCTCTTCTCGATCCGCCTCGCCTCAGCCTCCTCCCACCTCTGCCACGTGGGAATCCACGCATCCACAGCAGCCCTCCATCTGAGATTCGACCGATCATCGCTCTCACTGCCCCCTCTCTCGCGCTGCTCGTCCAGAAACTTCATTCGTTGTTTAGTCACTAGTTCCACCTTGCGTCGGACCGAGTGCCACGAGTACGGATGACCCTGGTCGCGCGTGAATTCCTCCGTGACCGTCATCCACCACTTGCACAGGTTACTGCGCTGACCAAACTCGTGAGCATGGCGGTTGCAGATATCGAACAGCGAGACTTCCTCAAGGGTGGTCAGGCGCTTCCCGTGTTTGCGGGGACCTTCACGGTCGCCCGTGAGGTTTAGGGAGTTGTCAGCACTGTCGTTGCCTGCGGCGGTAGCATCGAGGTCGAGGTCATCGCGATCGTCGATGAGGATGGTAGTCGTTGTAGTGCTAGGTCGGGTTGTTGTCGCATTCCCGTTGGGGATGAGTCCGTCTCGGTTACTATTGGAAGGAGCAGTGGTAGTGGTGCTGTTGGCGGTTCCGCTATTACCTCCACCTACAGGGTGATGACCATGGCGACGCTGTTGCTGTTGCTGCTGCTGCTGTTGTTGCTGCTGTTGCTGCTGCTGTTGCTGTGTGCGAGCATGTGAATGCGCACGCGCGACTGCGCTCGCGCCCATCCCATCGGAAGAAACGTAATCCTGGTCTCCCAACGCGTCCGTGGTGGTGATCTGTCGTACGCTGCAATCAGAGGTATCGAAATCACTCTCTTCGCTCGATATGGAGACGGCTTGCTGTTGCTGTTGCTTTTGCTTTCGCTGTTTTTGTTGGTGTTGGTGTTGGTGTTGGTGTTGACGTGCATCAATGACCACGGGAACAGGCTGTTGTTGTAGTTGTTTTTGTTGAGAGTGCCGAGGAAGTGAGCGGGGGTGCGAGTGGTGCTGGTGTTGCTGTTGTGTATCAAGTGCAGTGGGCTGCGGCGTCGGCTGTTGTCGTATGCGCAGATTCGTGGATAAATTAGGGAGCGTTGCATGCTGTGGGTTGGCTCGCGCGGAAATCATCGAGGGAAGCCATGGCATTTGGGGCATCTGAAGGGTCGAGGCAGAGGTACTCGGGGGAGCAGCAGTGGGTGTAATGGTGGCCGCGGCCGAGTCAATGCGCGGATTTGAAGCGGCGGCGGCGGCGGCTGGGGCGGCGGCGTTTGCGGTGTGATGGGGAAGGTGTGGGAGGTGTTGGTGTCGGTGGTGCTGCTGCTGCTGCTGCTGCTGATGATGATGAGGTTGAGGATGTGTACGATGACCAGTACTGGCAGTGGCAGTTGAACCATGCCAGGGATACATGGACATGGTTTTCAGTGAGCGTTCCAAGTCTCCCCAAAGTGTTGAGAGGAGGAGAAAGAAGGAAAGAGGGAGAGGAAGAGGGAGCGAGCGAGCGAGCGAGAGAGAGAGAGAGAGAGAGAGAGAGAAGGGGAGTGGGCGTGATGGTGGAACCGTGGACAGCAACTGCGGCGGGCGGAGAACTTTAAGCTACTAGTAATAATGGAGGGGATGAATGGGTCAGTCATTCTCTCAATATTCACAATAACAATAATGCTATTATTGATAGAGTCGCCAAGCCCAAATCAAAAACCCTTGGTCTCGTTACGCCCCTCTGAAAAACTGGACGCAAATGTCTGCAGTTTAAGCCATTTCAGCCGGATGGGTTGGTCTAGAGCCCCGCGGTGGAGGTGGTGATTTATCATTTATCGTACTCGGTCTTTTTCAGGGGCTGCGCTTTTCAAGGTTGGTTGGTGTCTTACTACTCATACATACTACCTCATAGTTCGGAGTGATGGTCAGACAGCGTCTCGCTTGTGCTTCCTCACACCAAACGGGCACAAGCGATTCGCGATGTGTTCCAACAGAATATAGAATAGATACTCAAGAGTATATTCGTATTGATGATGTACAGTACAGTGGGATCCTCTCGCTTCGAATACCCTGGCTACGTCATTGACTTTTGCCCTCTCCCCCTGGTGATCGAGGGGAAACAACAAATCATAAAAAAGAAAAAGAAAAAGGAATACACTGTAGATAAGCACCCAAGATGCAGGTACACCAAGAAAAAGGACCAAACCAACACATCGAATAATCAGACACCCAGTAATACATGAAGACTGTGGAACAGGCCCGCAGAACGGAGAAACAGAGAAGAGAGAAGAGAAAATACAGATGATTGAATTAGAACCCACGTGAAATGCACCTACCGCCGTCTCAAGTACCACACAAACGCCGGGGTGGTGATTTTCTCGCCGAATGGCGTCGGCACCTCACCGAAGCCAGGACGAGCCACGGGGTGCCGCAAATACACAGCAGCGCAGATGTTGTGATTGACCTCCAAGTAACGGGGGATCGTGGCGAACGCACTCATGTAGTCACGCGGCCTCCAAGGGGTGGCATAGGGCTTGGTGCTATCGACCGGGTTGTCGCGCATCTGGATGAGCGCCCGGCGCAGCACTTCGAACTCGTCGTCCGAGAGTTCCGATGTGTCTACATCTTTCTCCGGGTTCTGGATGGCCTGACGGAACGCCTCAGACAGCTTGGTAGTGATGGGGCCGTTCTCGCCCGCCTTCGGTGTAGCATCCTTGGACTCGGATTTCTCGGTAGCAGACTCCTCAGTCTTTGCCTCCATCTCCGTCTTTTCTGCCTTCTGCTTCTCCTCCCCACCCTCCTTCTTTTCGGTCTCCTTCGCCTTAACGGGCTTCTTCTCGGCGCGCTTGGCCTTGAGCAGAGTCGTCAGCTCGGAGAATTGCTCCTCGAGGTTGGCAGTCAGAACCGTGCTGTTTCCAGAACGCGACAATACCCGACGAACGGCTTTCTGGAATCCACGCAGATCCTGCTTGCGCTTGGCCGGGAGCACATCCTTGCTGCTATTCATGATGGCCTTAGCCTGAGCCATGAGCGCCTTGAGGGTCTCGCGGGGGGCTTCAACCGGCGCCGACTCCTCCTTGGTAGCCTCCTCCGCGGCTGCCTCCTCCGCAGCCTCCTCGGCCTTCTTGGCCTCCTCGGCCGCCTTCTTGCGGGCCACTCGGGTCTGTCGTCGTTCCACCTTGTCTTTGGGCGCACCGGTGGCATACATGACGCGCTCGGGTTCAACCTGGAACATGTCGCCGGGGTTGAGCAGGTAGCCGGGGTATCTCATCTAGCATTGCGAGCCAGATTAGTATTCGTCCCACCGCGATTATCCGATCAGGTCGAGTAGAGCCTCCCCAAAAACAACAAAACAGAATGAGGAAGGAACCTACCGGCTTGCCATTGACCTTGACGGCGCCGTGCACCACAAACTGCCGGGCCTGCCGGGCGCTGCTCGCGAACAGGGCACGGAAAATAGCCGTGTCGAGCCGACGCTCCAACGGGGCGAACGTCATTTGAACGTAAGGCGTTTTTCTATCCCCCCCAAACCCCCCAGTCTGCTTAGACTCGGTAACCTCCTTATCCAACTCCCCAAACCCAGGCTGCCCTTCCGATTTGGGGGCCTTCGTCAGACCGGAACCGCGGCCGGCCGACATGGCGGAACCGTCATCTCTGGCCAGGTTGCTGGGGGCCATGGGCACGACGCTGCGCAAGCGGGGGGAGAACATGCGTGACCATTGCTTTTCGGAGACCTGTTCGCCGTGGTAGGCACGGGCGGCGGCCTTGGACTTCCATTTTTGCTGGAAGAAGGTGGCGTTGGGGCGGTAGCTGTCCTTCAGCCGACTGAGGTTGTACAGGTTATATTTGCTCCATGATTGCCGGATTTTCTGAACGGGGGAGAGAAGATATTAGAGCAGGACTAGGGTGGGGGGGGAAGGCAGGCCATAAGAAGTATCAATTGAAGAGCCTACCGGTTGCTTCAAGGGTGTAGTAGCCCTGTTCCTCATGTTGGCGGCGAGCTTTGTGGGAGGGGGAGGGTGTGCTGTATGTTGCTGCTCCGACTCTGCTGCTGCTGCTGTCTTTCTCTCCCGGAACTATCGCCGGCGGCCAAAACTTCGCTGCCGCGAGAGCACGTGATTGAATAAGCACATGATCTGGAGGTTCGTTGCTGACTGTGGCCTGAGCGCTGAGGCATACATAGTCTCCCGGCTGGCAACAGCTCTGATTGGCTAGAGAAAAGCTCGCTTGCGAGTAGCGCGGACTCACCGCCCCGCCAGCGGGTATATAATCTGCCTTCCCCCGTCGCCCTTTTACACTTTTTTCTTCTTTCTTTTCTTCATACTTACCTTGTTTGGGTGGCTGCGATCAAGAAGGCGGTCCACCACGGATTGGTCCCTGCATTGCACAGCGCGGCGGAACAATCCGTTCAACGGCCTTCGGGTCATTGACAGGCGTATTCTTTGGCACTCTTCCTTCGGGATATCTTTCTTTTCATCATCGCTTCGCCTTGTGCGGGGTTATGGAGAAGAGATGTTTGTACAATTAGGCTACATTTATATGTAAACAAACCGTCCTCACCCCAATGCGACATGCGTATTGCAATCCTCTCCGTCCAACACTCGGTCCAGAGCTCTAGATCTGTCCCTAATTATCTCCCGAGGTGATCGCTGCGGCTGTTGCGTGTCTACTTTGACATACCACTTTTCATTATTCGTTACACATTATGCTTCAAACTCGGCCTTGTACATCGCATCACTCATCCCGATTGGCATTGGGAAACGCCTCCAGCAGCGCCTCTGCTTCCTGCGGATTGACCGCATCATCGAGGATTTCATGTGCCATCTCCACCGTGTCATCCGTTATCCCCGCTTCCAGTACTAATCCTTCACTGAACGCCAGCCGGGTGAAGACAACCAGGAACTTCTGTTTTCCGCCCGCCACGCGACACAACTTGGCCTGCAGGTCCACCTGCTCACGGTGGCGCTGGATCACCCCGTACACAAGCCTCATCAACCCATTGATCATGGACGCGTGGAGGTCCTTTTCGGGCGGTAGGGTATATAACGCGTGCACCTCATCGTGCATGGCCCTGATCAGTCGTGCGAGCACAGTGGGATGAGACGCCAGGATCAAGCTACCGTGTGTGCTCTCCGGCGCCTGAAAATTGAACGCCACCGAGGTGAGGAAGGACAAAGCCTCCCGCCGCATATCGCAGATCTCATATGGCAGATACGGATCTTGCCCTTCATCCAGCTGCGGAGTCTCGCTTAGCAGGTTCGCAACGCGGTCAACGATGTAGTTCTCGTTGGCGATTTGGTCCTGCTCGGTACTTTGGATGGACCCGAACGAGCCTTCTCGAATGCTCGTCGACAGCAGGCTAAGCATCAAGCTGATGTCTCTTAGCGGCTGCGAGCAGTTTAACATCATCAAAACAAAGTCGTACCGCATGCAGCGCCAAAACGTCGTCATCTCCCGCTCCACATGCAAGCGTCGACAGACCAGTTGGAACAGAAGACTCAACGCTTCAGTCGAATCTACTAATGGTTCCAACTGAGACAACGGGGTCTTCCGTACCTGGCCCAGGTTTTGTCGAGAAACAGGAGAATGTTTGAAGCGGGGAACACCGTTGACATCCCCGGACTCCTGTAGGATGGGTATCAAGTGCTCAATCAAGTCCGGATCATACGATGGCAGATCGATCGAGATCAGGAACCCCATTATTGACAGGAACATGGGGATGGGGAGATAATACTTCTCGCTCAATGCACGACCCCACAATGAGATGATGGCCCGCCCATACTCCACCATATAGTTGCCAAAGTCAAGCTTGGCCGTCTCACCCAGCAGGATTGTAGATAACATCTGCTGGGGATCGGAGGGAAAGGCCAGCCCGGCCATGACTTCAATGTCAGGCTTTCCATCCACAGCTGTCCGGTGATTCAAGATACGCTTCACGATGCTGCTGTCGTAGCTCCTGGCGAAAGGAACAGCTTGTTGGGGAAGGACATCCACCATTGCATCGTCGGACAAGTCCTCCGGTGCTTCGTCCGGCAGGGGCTCTGCCTGCGGACTCAATTGCAATGGCGTGGGGCTGTCCTGACTGAGCTTCCTCTTCCTCTTTCCAGGCACAGTTGGTGTAGTGCGCTTCGACTTCGCCGACTTAGTAGGCGAGATAGCGAGGATCTCATCATCGTCAAATCCGTCTCGGAAAGGCAGGACCCTGGTTTTCTTTGGAGTCACCGGCGGCGCTTTTTCCTCCGTCCGAGGCCTTGCCTTCAGTTGGTTGACGCGCATCGCTTCCTCAGCCAAATCCTGTTTGAGGAAAGCATTCTCCGTGGCGAGCATCTTGCCCTCTGCACGCGCAGCCTCAACCTCTTCTCTGTGCCTGGCGGCCTGCTCGGCCATGGCCCTGCGTAGTGCCGTCATCTGTCGATCATAATCCTGAGTGACCTTGGCCTGGTTGGCTCGAATGATGGCAATCTCGCCGGTTTTCGTTTCCGCGATCGATTTGGCTGCCGTCAGCTCTTCTAGTAGCTGCTTATAACGTTCATTCTCCATCGCCAGCTATTTCAACGATTAGTTCTGTGGGTGTGCAGTCTCCAATCACCTCTCCCTAGCATTACCTTCTCGCTCAGTTCCGCATGAGTCCTGTGCAGCTCAGCATATTGAGAGGACCCTCCTACCCCCTCAATTTCCATGGGATCAGGCAGGTATCCATATTCGTCCTCCGCCTCGGCTCGTAGATTACCATGTTCAACGTGAGGATGCGGTTCGTTGTGATGGGCAGGTGTAGCAAAGACGGAGGCTTGCTGGAGCGCATCGTCCGGTTGGATGGCGACGCCATTCTCCAGGACCTCCGCGTCGAGCTCGCCTATGTCCCAGTTGTCATAGTCATTGGTCAAACCAGAGTGTAAACGCGGAGGAGGTTGTAACGTCGCATTGGAAGGCTTGAGATTATCTCCGGAGATAGTTTGATGATCGGAGCGGACATAAGGGCGAGTCGAGACCGTCAACTCTGGCAGGGGTTGTTGTTGTTGTTGTTGTTGGGTAGCTGGAGCTTGAGTGGCGCGGTATGCATTTTGTTCGAGTTGGTAGAGGGTGCCCGGTGGCAGGTCGTCGAAGCCATCGTCGGAGAAGAAATCATCATCGTTTTCTTCCATGCCCAGCGATGGACGATCGCCATGAGATGTACGTGCTGGTTGCAAGAAGGTAGGTAGGTTAGTAGATGTGCTGAGCGTATGTTGGACGATCAGTTAACAAATAGAGAGACGATGAATGCGGGAGGGAAAGAAAAAAAGAGGTAACACTTCATGTACTAGCAGTTAGGTTAGTAAGTGCCGTACATACAGTAAGTAGTTGACTGACGTCGACGGGGGTTAGGCGCGTAATCGTAATCAGGAATTCCCGCCGGCTCCCTCCTTCTCTCCCTCCCTCCCTCACTCAACCTTTCTCCTCCTCATCCTCCTCCTCCTCCACCTTTTCCCATCTCCACCTCTTCTGATACAAAAAACCTTCCCTACTTTCGCCTCGACTTTTTGTCTTGTCGACACTTTTGTGGAACGGTCAGTCACCCTAGGTGATTTCTCAGGCTTGCAATCAAATCAGACCAAAAGCCACCTTGATCGTAATTGCTCGAGGTTCACGTCTACTTGTTGTCTTCATTCCTCGGTCGCCAGTTCACATGAATTTTCCTTAAGCACGACGATCATTGCTGCTTCACCCTTTTTTTTTTGTGCTCTGGCATCTCTGCTACCCTTTCCCCCTTTTCTCTTCACCTTTTCTCTTTTGATCAGTTCCACCCTTACTTGGTTCGGCCCCTTCCGAACCTTTTTCTCAGCTCCCAAGCTCTCCCCAGCTTCTCCTTCCGGCCCCGCGCGCTCCTCAACCCAAGCAGCCGCTCAGTTCCGGTTTCCCCTCGTCTGTACATACATACTCTTCCACTATGTCCAAGACTCGTCGGAACGTCAGATTTCCACACAGGATGTCGAATGCCTCGGAAGGTCGTCGGTCCAGTATCTCAGAGGCCAGCGACATCCTGTCTGACCCGGGAAGTCCGTCCAAAGACGGCACTGTCGCGAAGCCGGCCACAATTCCGGAAGAGGTGAGCAGCGCACCACCACCATCTGCACAACCCAACAGACATGCTGACCACGCGCAATTAGAAATCCGAAAAATCCCAATTATCCGACTATGAAAAGAAGAAGCAGACCTTCATAACGCGCACGATATGGACCTTTGTCATGATCTTCGGCTTCTTCGTCGTCCTTTTCTCCGGTCACATTTACATCCTCGGTATCGTCACCGCCGTTCAGATCGTCTCGTTCAAAGAAGTCATTGCAATCGCCAACGTGCCCAGTAAAGAGAAGAACCTTCGCTTCACAAAGTCGCTGAACTGGTATTTCCTGGCGACTACGATGTACTTCTTGTATGGAGAGAGCGTTATCTATTATTTCAAGCATATCCTATTGGTTGACAAGGTCTTGCTCCCTCTGGCGAATCACCACCGCTTCATCAGCTTTATGCTTTATGTCATGGGTAAGTTTAGATTCTGTATCCCAAATATTGTCTTTACTGATTGGCTAGGTTTCGTTTTCTTCGTCGCGTCCCTGAAAAAGGGACACTATCGGTTTCAGTTCACTCAGTTTGCCTGGACACATATGGCCTTGTACCTCATTGTTGTTCAAGCCCACTTTGTCATGAACAATGTTCTGGAGGGAATGATCTGGTTCTTCCTCCCCGCCTCTTTGGTCATTGTTAACGACATCTTCGCTTATGTCTGCGGTATCACGTTTGGTCGGACCCAGTTAATCCAGCTGTCGCCCAAGAAGACCGTTGAAGGCTTCATTGGCGCATGGATTTGCACCATCATCTTCGGTTTCTTCATCACCAACATCCTCATGCGCTACAAGTACTTCATCTGCCCGGTCAACGATCTCGGATCGAACGTGTTGACCGGCCTCGAGTGCACCCCCAACCCGGTTTTTGTTCCTGAGCCGTATTCGTTCCCAGAGTGGACCGGTGTCGAGAAGACTTTTTACATTGAGCCTATGCAGTTCCACCTCATGGT